ATGGAGAGTTGACACGTTCGAGGAGCTTTGGCCTTGAGTCGTTGCAAAATCGTCCGCGAACAGGAGTATTATATAAATTCGAAACGAGAGAGAGAGGAAGGTGAGAATATCGGTGGAGAGAAGGATAAAACGATTTCTTTTCGATGAAATATTATTATTATTATTATTATTATTATTATTATTATTATTATTATTATTCTCGAGGCGTTGAGAATTCTTCTCCTCCTCCCTCGAGAAGAGATAGGTAGGCTTGAGCTTCCCTTGTATTGGCGAGCTCCAATCGATTCGAAGGAAAGGGGGAAAGCTATGGAAGTAAGTTTCGAATCCGGTTTCGAAACCAACCCCCTCCTCCTCCATTCCCTCTGTATATATCTCACCCTGTTGTTGCATGAGAGTAGCGTATATAGTAGAACGGGGGTGGCGGGCGGCGGCTGCCGATCCACCGCACAATTTTTTCCATTGATCCAGATTCTGCGATCGTTTGCAGGAGCTGAAGGAGAGCTTCAATTACGGTTTGTTCTGCCCACCCGTGAATGGGAAAGCCGGGAAATTCTTGGACGAGGAACGTCGCCTCGGCGACTATCCGTTCAACGGGCCCGTCGGATACTTGGAGGTAAGTACGAGATATCCTCTCTTTACTTCGATCAACAAAGATTTCCAACGACGGAGGAAATCCCTCCCCTTAATGGGTCGATACGAATTTTCATTTTCCCTGACCTCGCCACTGTCGAGGAGGGATGATAAGCGGGAGAGGGAGGCGAAGGTTTAAACGAGGCTGGCTACGAGGAGGGAGGCATTGACGCGGGCGAAAAGGTTGCCTCAAAGGGAAGAAAGGGGAAGGGGGACGCGCGACTCTTCAATATCGAGGAGTTTGCTCGAGAACTCTCTTTATCCCTCCCTCCTTTTTTGCGCGACGCGCGGGTCAAGGAGGGTCCGCGTGGCTATTTTTTTCCGAGCGCTTACTTTTCCCCCACCACCTCTCCTTCCGCCTAAGAGCGCCAGCCGAGGATCCACGGCGAGAAAGTGAACGAAGTGGAATAAAGAAAAAAGGGGAGGGGGGGAGTGTGGAGTTTGTGGAACGGGGGAAAATGAAAACTGCAGAAGGGAATGGTGGGATTTCCAAGAGGATCTCGATGGATAAGGATGTCGCGTCAGGAGATTTTTCGTGGAGGGAAGTCGATGCACGAGGGACGATGACTGTTGAAACCTGGGGATCCGGGAAAAACAAATAATCCCTCGGTCGGTTAACGAGATCTGGATCTTGCCCGCGGTTTTCTTGCGTAACCGGATCTAGTGCTCATCTCGGTGTTGGCGTTCCTCTTCTTTTTCTTCTTCTTCCTCTTTTTCTTCCTCCTCCTCCTCCTCCTCCTCCTCCTCTTCTTGCGTTCTTGATCTCCGTTGACGCGATCGGGTTCAGTGTCGATGGCACGGTCTCGCCACGGGGATTCACTTTCTAGGATAAGTTGAGTCGCATCGCAAACTCTTCCATCTTGGAGATTTCCGATTTCTCTTCGTTTCGTTCCGCGATGGATACACGTCGTGATCGAGGAGGAAATTGGCAATGGTATGTGTGTGACGCGTGCATTCGTCGAGGAAGGGAGCGCATCTACTATCATCCCTGCTACTTTGATCGTTGCATAATTAATCGGCCTCCTCTATCCGACGTTAATTAAACGGTGAGAGTTTTTTTTTTCGCCGCGCGAAAGAGATGGCCTCGAGATTTTTTCCCTTTTCTCTTTCCAAGGGGCACGGCCTTGAGCCACTCGCGGCTCAATTTTCACCTCTACCGTTTCGCGAAATATTTCAACGTCGAGCCGGATGATGTAGATAAAGTGGGAACGTTCGAAGACGGTGTGCACGGTGTGTACGCAACGCTTGTTTCACTTTTCTTTTTCTTTCTTTTTTTTTCCTTTTTTTTCCCTTGTTCTTTCGTCCGGAGTCGCGGCCAATATCGCGGCCGGTGCACTCGGAACGCGGATAGAAATAAATAAAACGCGAGGTTGGACGGGGAGCCATAGATCACGCGGTATTCGGTACCGTCGCTATTCGCCACGCCGCCTACCTTTTTTCCTTATCTCGAACACGCGCACGCGCACACGGAGCTCCGTCGATCGAGCCGACTCGTCGCGCCTCCTACCCGACTTTTACGTAATTTTCGCTTCCTCGAGAAACGATTCGATTTCGATCCGTTTACGAACGAACCACGCTGTTTCAGATTTCTCGATACTTCGGGAAGCAAGGCAATTAACGAGAAGTCCTTCTTCAAACGAACTCCTCGCCAAAGCGACCGATTACACGCTATTATCGAGCTGAGAAGCAAAACGTGATTAAACGCACGCTGCGAAAATCGCCCGTCGCGATGATGAGAACCGTTGCCTTCGTAATAACGTGATCGGGCGAGCGACGGTTCGAGTCACGGAGCCATCCACGGTTCTTCTTCCATCGCGCGGAAAAGAGGAAGGATACGCGTCCCGTGATGCCCCTCTCTCAACACCACCGTTAAGCCGAGAGTATTACCGAGATCACCTTGGTATCCGACGATTCTCTTTGCTCGCCAAGAGTCAGAGTTCGCATCGCGTCGTCGGGCTTCTCTCGTGCGCGGGGGAACGAGTTAACGACCGACCGACCGAGTTGCGTAAAAAGAGCGAGGTGTTGGTCACGGCCGATAAGGGACGAGAAATCTTTCGTCCTGTCTCTAATTTACATCGCGACTTCGGATCCCGTGGATAATCATAATTGGTGGTAACGGTAGTCATTAGCGCAGGCGATATTGCCTATCCGTCGGTAATCTAACGCTTCGAACCACGACGCCTCCGATAATTATAAAGAAGATGTAACGCCACCGGGAAACGACACGGCGAATCCCTCATTAAACCGGGATAATTTTATATATATATATATATATATATATACACGTTTTGCCCTTCTATACAGTATGTTTCTCGTGGGTCGGTGGGTCGGTGAGTCGGGGGAAAAATGAGCTTCTCTTCTCTTCCCATCGGACTCTCTATTAGGTGGGTGTGCAGGAAGGGTTAGACTCGTGGCATTTCACGAGACTTCGTATCGAAACGCCCACTTCGAAAATAAATGGAGAGTGTGTACGCTGTACTCTGCGATTTTTTTTTCTTTTTTTTTTCTTTTTTTGCGTATACAACGTTTCACGTGACATTAAATCTTGATTTACGTCAAGCGTTTCCCTCCGTGGCGAAAAATAAATTTTCAGATAAAAGTTGAACGATTTCGGGAGAGGCGTATATAAATGTTGGTATATTTTCTCTTGGAGGAAGGGAATCTTTTTTTTTTCTTAAATACTTTTTCATAGGAAATATCAATTCAATCTTATTTAATTCTAATCATGGGAATCTAATATATATATATCGCTCTTTATACTTACACTCGCCTTTTTTTAAAAATCTTCGAATAAAAATATTCAAAACGTGTAAAGTAATATAGAAAAATTCATACATGCGACTTATATAAATGCCACGTGTAAATGGGAAGGAGGTCAGGTATTCCACACCTGTGTTCTATCGTATCTCTATCGTCCGTAATGTCACGATGATCAAAGAGCCTACGCCACGATCCCATTTTTAATTCGCAGCTCAAGTACAAAAGACGGGTCTACAAGATGCTGCACCTGGATGAAAAACAGTTGAAGGCGATGCACACGAGGACGAATTTGCGAAGGTTGCTCGAGTACGTGGCAAACAGCCAGGTCGAGAAGATCGCCAAGATGTGCAGCAAGGGTCTGGATCCTAATTTCCACTGCCAGGAAACTGGAGGTAAAAAAAAAAAATTTTTTACTTATCTTTCTCAAAAAAAAAAAAAAAAAATTTATCTCATTTACACAAAATTTTTTCACGGATTTAACCCTTTCCCTATCTGTTGAGAATCGTACGATTCTGATTAGAATACAACGAAGACATAATAAATCGTTCGCAGAGACTCCCCTCACCTTGGCCACCACGTTGAAGAAACCCTCGAAGGTGATAATAGCCCTGGTGAACGGTGGCGCGTTGCTGGATTATCGAACGAAGGAGGGCCTGACGGCGATGCATCGCGCCGTCGAGCGGAACAGTTTGGAAGCTGTGAAGACGTTGCTCGAGCTCGGCGCAAGCCCCAATTATAAAGACACGAAGGGGCTGACGCCGCTCTACTACAGCGTCATCTACAAAACCGATCCGATGCTGTGCGAAACGCTGCTCCACGACCACGCGACGATAGGCGCCCAGGATTTGCAGGGATGGCAGGAAGTGCATCAGGTCTCGCTTTTCACCTTTTCACCCTCCTCTCTCTCTCTTTCTTTTTTCCAATAACTCAGACTAACGCGTCTGCACCCTCCCCTTGTTCGAAAAAAAGAGGGGATTAAGGAAAAGGAGGAGGTTTGAAGGACAGAGAGAGAGAGAGAGAGAGAGAGAGAGATAGGGTTTGCGCGGTTTTATAATTATAATCGCACATCCGCACTTCGATAATCGATAACGCGATAACCTTCCCCCCCCCCCTCCTCGCGTGTTCGCAGGCCTGCCGCAACAACTTGGTCCAACACCTGGATCACTTGCTTTTTTACGGTGCCGACATGAACGCGCGTAACGCGTCCGGCAACACGCCGTTGCACGTTTGCGCTGTGAACAACACGGACTCGTCGTGCATACGCCAGTTACTGTTCAGAGGCGCGCAGAAGGACAGCCTGAATTACGCGAACCAGACGCCCTACCAGGTGGCGGTGATCGCTGGAAACATGGAGCTGGCCGAGGTCATTAAGAATTATCAGCCGGAAGAAGTTGGTGAGTTGACGAGGGGGCGAGATTATCAACGAGATGAGATGATAGGTGAAGGAGAAATTGACTGAGCGCGAGTTTCCTTTTTTTTTCACGAGAAAAGAAAAAGAATTGACCTCTCGCGATCGTGGATGGATGGATACACTTTTTTTTTTTTTTTCTTCTTTCGTGTCTCGAGCATCGCTTCCCCCGATCGTTCGAGTCCAATCCGATTAGATAGCGTTTAGGCGACGATCGATTTTCCCGGGAAATTGGCGAGGAGAAAAAAATAAGTGTAAAGGGAGATCGATAAAGACGATATCGTTGGTACCGATCGGTAACGGGCCCGAGACGGAATCGGCGAGACGAATGGTTTCGCGGCGAAGGTTAAGAGATGGCACGAGGAACGCGTTATATCCGATGAAACGATAACTTGGATCGTTTAGAAAAATTTTTAAATATATATATATATAGAGCACGTCACGAATCTTAACATTGGCATGTGCATGTGTAACATCGAATTGTATAGAATGCTTCTTTCTTTCTTTCTTTCTTTTTTTTTTTTTCTCTCCTTCTCTTTCCTTCTCTGTCTTTCCAACAAGACAACACGCTTCAGCGCTTGCTAGTTAACGTAGCGAGGAGTAGATAGTATATAATCGTAGATTATAGTCCAAATATGGTGTAAATATATAATATACGAAAGATATATATATTTACGTATATACGTATAATCTATATGTAATTGTGCGTGTTTCTGTGTCTCTGTGCTGTATGACAAAAGTACCGTAAAATTGTAACAATTGTCTGATGGGATCTTTGGTGGTGATGGTCTTGTAAGACGTCGAGCATCGAGCATTTGTATACTTATATGATACATACATATATATATATATATATAAAACGACTAAAGTTTGATCGCTTTTGAGTAACTAATACTAACGATGCCGCCCGATATATCTCGATCTCGTCGACGACTTTGCTGCTCACGGATTTCCCTTCGAAAACCTCGATCGATAAACATCGATTAAAAATGAAAGAAAAAAAAAAAAGAGCATGACAAAAATCCGTCAGCATCGAAGTGGCGGGACAAGTTGACCAGTAATATTTGGTAGTTACCTTACTTTGTGTGTAACGCGTGATCGACTCGGCCCGTTGAAATATCTCTCGACGCGCGCACAAATGAAAATAAAAGAGCGCGAGGAAGAAGAGAAATTCAAAGGTCCGTTCGAAGGTGAACTCGATCACCCGAAAAAAGCGGCGAAATTGAACGACGCGGTTTTTAATCACTTTTCTCGCCTGTCAACAATCACTGTATCATTGTATCGTGCAAAACGGATACAATATACAACAACATATCCCGTGGAATGCGTGACTGCTGCGTGTGCTTCTCACCGCTTTCTTGTATAACTAACCACGTTTTATTATAACGCCGTTCGATCGTCGAGTTTAACAATTTGTTAACAATACGCGTGCGTGTATGCGTGTATGCGTGCCTAAATCCGCCAGCTTGTAACGACGAAAACGAGAAAGAGAGAGAGAGAGAGAGAGTGAGCAACGAGCAGTGAGCGAGAGCAAACTTTTTTTTGGCAAAAATTCACTATTCGAAATCTCACATATACATATACACGCGCACACATTTCGAATACTCGCGAGCTGTTATACGAATAGGGAAAGAAAGAAAACGAACACACGCGTTGGGAGAGCGGCGTCTAATTGTAAGGCTAAGTAATCCTTTCTTTACTTAACCTTGCAACCCTCGATTTTCCAGTACCGTTTAAAGGGCCGCCACGCTACAACCCGAAACGGCGCTCGGTGGCGTTCGGAGGCACGATGACCACTAGCTGCTCGGCCAGCAACCTGGGCACCCTGACCAGGATACCGTCCGCTGAACAACAGCAACA